ACATCAGGCTTTGCTTCACTGACAATCGACTCAGAAAAGCCTGCAATGGGAGACAACTCCCCAAACAAATGAAACTCGATAAGTTCAAGTGCGCTAGATACTTCATTCGGCATCGCCATAGCCAGAAAAAAGGTGGGTTACAGGTGTAGAACTGCAAGTTCTAGTTTTTAATTCAGGGAAGAAGAGGTAAAGATGTTGCTTGAGAGTGGAAGGGAGAGTGAAGGAGGTATTTATATATAGAGGGAGCTCAAGACTGGACCTTTTCCACGGAGTTTCCAAGTAGGATTGAGGAAAGAAGCATTCAGCTCCCCCTTTTTGAGAAAGTGTATGTGCTCCTTGAAAATTGTCCACCTTTGGATCATTTGAATTTCAGGGTCAATGGAGGATCCGACGGCTGGTTTTTGTTGTTGAGGTCATCAAACTTATCCAATTTGCTTTAATGATTGCGCGTCCTGTTTTTTTCTTGTTTACGGATGTGCTTCCATGTTGTTTCCTGATTCATTTTACTGATTTTTCTTTTTTATTTAAACACGTGCTTTACGTCACTTGACTCTAGAGGCATACTGGTATTAGTCATCGATGAAAAGTGCATTTCTCCCTGTATTGGACGGGTTTCAAACCTGTCCATGTCAAAAAATTCAAAAAAAAAAAAAAAACATGTGCTTTTATGTCCCAATGGTACCATTATTGCGTAATCACAGGGTTAATCATATTCATTAAATAATTGTTAGAAAAATAATTTTAGGATAATTTTTAAAATTATTTTAGGTATAATTTTATGTGTAATTTAAATTATTAGTTATTTTTATTTGTTTAGAATTCTAATACTATCAACGACCTAAATAATTTAGTATTAATCTTCTTTCACTTCACTAGAAGTACGAGATCCTTAATTCAAGTTACATGATATGTGAGTGGGATGAGATAGGAAACGAGATAAAGAATGAAATAAGAATAAGATAAAAAATGAGAAATGATTGTCTCTCGTTGTGCAATCAACATAAAAAAAAAAAAGAATTCGTAATACTAAATACATTTATTTATTTAATAACATAT